AAGTTGCAGCCTCAGATAATAGGAAATACCAGGAAGATGAAGTGATTGGGGAATCTATTGTTCTTCAGTTCGATTTCAACTTTCAATAACAAGAGAAGCATTAATGATCATCTTCCCGACCTCCTCCTCCTGAATCTCAGTCCCACTCCTGGCCCTTGTACTCGACCCACGTCCCTCTCTCCAACTCATTCCTTGTATATATCCGCTCCTGTGCCAGGTAAGTCCACTACGGGCTCACCATAGCCCGTGCTACTTGCCCCGCTCCTGTGCCAGGTAAGTCCACTACGGGCTCACCATAGCCCGTGCTACTTGCCTCGCTCCTGTGCCAGGTAAGTCCACTACGGGCTCACCATAGCCCGTGCTACTTGCCCCGCTCCTGTGCCAGGTAAGTCCACTACGGGCTCACCATAGCCCGTGCTACTTGCCCCGCTCCTGTGCCAGGTAAGTCCCCTACGGGCTCAACCATAGCCCGTGCTACTTGCCCCGCTCCTGTGCCAGGTAAGTCCACTACGGGCTCACCATAGCCCGTGCTACTTGCCCCGTTCCTGTGCCAGGTAAGTCCACTACGGGCTCACCATAGCCCGTGCTACTTGGAACTTGTTCCGAGTAGCTGAATGTATAACAACAATCATTCCTTACCCTTTCCATCCCCTGTCCCCTAGTCTCATCCAGGTAGTTTCCAGTCACCAGTAAATCAGACCAATTCCACTTTATCCAGCTATTCAAACTAACTCCTCGCTATATACTATTCACACCAAACAAACTGAGAATAAGGAAGTTTTTAAGTCATGAAGACAAATGTGTACATGAAAGGCATGTACATGAACAATGATTAGATTACCACCAATATCTTGAGGTTATCTTGAGATGATTTCGGGGCTTTAGTGTCCCCGCGGCCCGGTCCTCGACCAGGCCTCCACCCCTAGGAAGCAGCCCGTGACAGCTGATTAACACCCAGGTACCTATTTTACTGCTAGGTAACAGGGGCATAGGGTGAAAGAAACTCTGCCCATTGTTTCTCGCCTGCGCCTGGGATCGAACCCAGGACCACAGGATCACAAGTCCCGCGTGCTGTCCGCTCGGCCGACCGGCTCCCTGACGGGTGACTTCATCAGTCACCCACTTTAACAACCCCAGAAATATCATCACTACAATCAAACCTCCGTAAAGCGCTTCATTGACTGAAAAATAGTTGGCTTACATATAAGATATGCCACCTAACCTAACCTAACCTAACCTTCCCGGCTTGGTGCCATCTTTGATTACTTACTTATAAGATAAAAGGATTATCTCGGTTTGTCTTTTTCTGCTTCTTGATCTGAAGATTACATGTCTTAATCTTTCTGCCCCTCTGACCGCGTCTCTTCCTGTTAAGCACGTAATTCCCCACCCACTTACCGTTCCTTTAGTCGCTGTGTGATGTAACTCCGCTGCCAATTACAGACGGGTCGCTACAGCATCGGTTTCACTTCTTGCTGGAGCGGCGTTCTATTGCTGAGGCTTCAGATGACTGTATTAACATTGCTTTATTCCGTTCACGTGAATTCCTTGACCTAGTATCATTTTTCTTGTTTTAAATGGTCATATTGGCTTAGCTGTTTATCCTTCTCTTACCCTACCCTAGGGAGCCGAGCGGACAGCACACTGGACTTGTGATCCTGTGGTCCCGGGTTCGATCCCAGGCGCCGGCGAGAAACAATGGGCAGAGTTTTTCACCCTATGCCCCTGTTACCCAGCAGTAAAATAGGTACCTGGGTGTTAGTCAGCTGTCACGGGCTGCTTCCTGGGGGTGGAGGCCTGGTCGAGGACCGGGCCGCAGGGACACTAAAAGCCCCGAAATCATCTCAAGATAACCAAGATAGTAACTGTATCAGTAACTTAAGGGTGCTGAGGTAGGAGTTACTGAGGGCTCAGATGGGCTTTAAGGGGTTATCTTGAGGTTATCTTGAGATGATTTCGGGGCTTAGTGTCCCCGCGGCTTGGTCCCCGACCAGGCCTCCGCCCCCAGGAAGCAGCCCGTGACAGCTGACTAACTCCCAGGTACCTATTTACTGCTAGGTAACAGGGCATCAGGGTGAAAGAAACTTTGGTCATTGTTTCAGGCCGGCGCCCGGGATCGAACCCAGCACCACAGGATCACGTGTCCAGTGTTCTGTCCGCTCAAGCCACCGGAAAGTGCAGATGCCGCCTAGAGTTCTTGGGCGAAAAATAAAACACAGTTCGACTGGGTGTTCTAGGAGTGAGTCCAGTGATCCCAGTTAGGAGCCCTGGTCGACGACCGGGCCGCGGGGACGCTGAGCCCCAGAAGCACCTCAATGTAAGGTAATCCCGCTGCTGTCAGGGTCTGGATCCTTATGATTCAACCACTCTTGATGAGGGCCAGTTGGGGCGGTTGAAATCCCGCGTCTTACCGGCTAAGAGTTATGAAGAAGCAGAATGAAGATTGAGCTTCTCTAAGAAGTGTTGGGACGGCTTTAATCTTCAACAATTAAGACATTTTTTTACTCTTCTCGCTCATTTCACTATCTTTCTCACCCGTGCATCTCATTTCTCATTTTCATGCAATTCTCCCACACGACTCCTTTGCCTTCCCAATTGCATTTGTCTTTCTCACATCAATTTCTCACTGTTGCTCTTAACAGCACTTCCTAAGGTTGACCAGACCACACACTAGAAGGTGAAGGGACGCCGACGTTTCGGTCCGTCCTAGAGCATTCTCAAGTCCTTGAGAATGGTCCAGGACGGACCGAAACGTCGTCGTCCCTTCACCTTCTAGTGTGTGGTCTGGTCAACATACTTCAGCCACGTTATTGTGACTCCTCGTCTGCACTTCTCAAGGTTCACTACAGACTAATAATGAGGCCAGGCTCACAAGTCAAGCCTGGCCTCGGGCCGGGCTTGGGGAGTAGAACAACTCCCAGAACCCCATCAACCAGGTATATGTGGGCCTGCGGGCCGCTCCAAGCAACAGCCTGGTGGACCAAACTCTCACAAGTCAAGCCTGGCCTCGGGCCGGGCTTGGGCAGTAGGATAACTCCCAGAACCCCATCAACCAGGTATATGTGGGCTTGCGGGCCGCTCTAAGCAACAGCCTGGTGGACCAAACTCTCACAAGTCAAGCCTGGCCTCGGGCTGGACTTGGGCAGTAGAAGAACTCCCAGAACCCCATCAAGCAGGTATATGTGAGCCTGCGGGCCGTTCCAAGCAACAGCCTGGTGGACCAAACTCTCACAAGTCAAGCCTGGCCTCGGGCCGGGCTTGGGGAGTAGAACAACTCCCAGAACCCCATCAACCAGGTATCAAGCAGATACTGAAGTTCTGGCAGAGCTGGTATTGGGAATACCAGCTTGGGGATGATTTACCGTGGGCGTCTCGGGTTCACCCGAGTCGAAGCTTCGAAACATCTCGCGAATGGTACAGGACAATCAACACACTCCAGCCAATCAACAGCTCTTGTGCGCTTCTACAAGGTCGTGTTCTTGCACAGGGAACACAGGGAAGCAACAGACACGTGTGTGGGAGGTTTATGACAAGGCAAAACGACAAGGAAATTGTGTGAACACAAAGTTAGCATTTGGTTCTAAGAGATGAAGTAGTAGTGTCTTGAGACATGAATTCCTTCGTGTGAATATTGCTGAGTGAGGGAGACATTGAGGGAGGGATTGAGTGAGTGAGTGAGCGAGTTATTTTCAGGGGATTGAGAGGGAGTTGTTAGGATGCACGCGTGTGTGTGTGTGTGCAAAAATTGAGAGAGATATAATTAAAGGACAGAAAAGGCTTGGAAAAAAATATAAAGATGGGTACAGAGACAAATGCAGACACGAAAGCAGACCAGGAATGTGTACACAAGAATCAAGAAAGCAGCAATTTGAGAGTGACGCAGAGTACCAGAGCTCTGCTTCCTAACCCAGCAGACCTTTATTCTTGCAATGATTTTCCCAGCTGTTAGTGGTGGCGCTAGGTGGAGCCAATGGTAAATAAAGACGCATTCATGGCCTTATGAAGATTGTGTGTGGTGTGGGTGTGGGTGTGGGTGTGTGTGGTGTGTGTGTGTGTGTGTGTGTGGTGTGTGTGTGTGTGTGTGTGGTGTGTGTGTGTGTGTGTGTGTGGTGTGTGTGTGTGTGTGTGTGTGTGTGTGTGGTGTGTGTGTGTGTGTGTGGTGTGGTGTGTGTGTGTGTGTGTGGTGTGTGTGTGTGTGTGTGGTGTGTGTGTGTGGTGTGTGTGTGTGTGTTCCCCTGAGAATGGAGTGGAGGCCAGCTGATACGCAAGATTACTCTTCCTACAAGATCCTCTATGTGTAAGATCATCTACCGTGGAAGATCTTCTCCCTGCAAGATTGCCAAGTGCTATATAGTCGTAATAGCTCGGCGCTTTTCCCTGACAATTCTCCTCCCTGTAAGATCCTCTGTGTTTCAAAAAGCTGGTTTTCTTGCAGGATTACAAAACATTGCAAACTCGACTCTGTGCTTCTCTGTTGGCAAGCCGAGCCGAGATTGTGAACCCACAGGTCTCCTGAATGTTAGGAAATAGTGTACAAAGTTATGCCAGGTGTAAATTAACACAGTTCATATGAAATACTCAACCCGTTCTCGCACTTTCGTATAGTCAATATTGACTTATTAAATACGTGCATATGTGACATACTAAACATATTAGCTTACCTTGAAAAGCTTCATAGAAAACACCGACCTTACCTAACCTTCTTAGTATGTTAAGATAAGCATCTTATTGCTTCATAATTACAATTATTAACCTATTATAGGTATAGGTTACTTGGTAATTAAAATTATGGAAGAGAAATTATTCGTATGAGGTGAAAGAGGGAATTATCAGGGAAAAGGTCAAGCCATTACGACTATATAGCACTGGGAAGGGGTCAGGATTTGGGATGGGACGGGGGGATGGAATGGTGTCTCAATCACTTTGATGGTTGGGAATTGAACGCAGACCTGCATGAAGTGAGACCGTTGCTCTACCGTCCAGCCCAAGTGGTTGGGCTAGACATCCTCGAGGTACAGCGTTCCCTTGCATCAGTGTGACCAAAAATAGTTTAAACAGAACCTTCTTGTTCAATAGCGTGATGTATCAAATGAACAAATCCACAAGGGCGCGTCTGGGATCCTCTCGGACGTAAGTTCGAGCCTTCGTCACGGCCCTTGTGGATTTGTTCAGAACTTATAATGCTTAAGCCCCTTTTTTCCCATGAAGAATGTGTGGGATTGAGAGGAATATGAACACTGTATTGGAACTCCAAGTGAACAAACCCCCTCCCCCCCCTCTCCTATCTGGGAAAGGAGGGGGGGGGGGTATATTTAATTTCCGCCAAAGGAAGTAATTCAATTTATTGGAAAATCTCGTCTCTGAAACTTTTTTTATATTTGGATTTTAACTTGTTTAAATCCTTTTGGTTATTTTAACTTGTTTAAATCCTTTTGGTTATTTTAACTTGTTTAAATCCTTTTGGTTATTTTAACTTGTTTAAATCCTTTTGGTTATTTTAACTTGTTTAAATCCTTTTGGTTATTTTTAACTTGTTTAAATCCTTTTGGTTATTTTAACTTGTTTAAATCCTTTTGGTTATTTTAACTTGTTTAAATCCTTTTGGTTATTTTAACTTGTTTAAATCCTTTTGGTTATTTTAACTTGTTTAAATCCTTTTGGTTATTTTAACTTGTTTAAATCCTTTTGGTTATTTTAACTTGTTTAAATCCTTTTGGTTATTTTAACTTGTTTAAATCCTTTTGGTTATTTTAACTTGTTTAAATCCTTTTGGTTATTTTATATACCCTTGTAAGCAATTTTATTTCCGAAGTTTGGCGTCTTAAAATAATTTGGAGAGTTAAGATGTTATTGTATTGGTGTGGAGAGGTGGTGTATATAGTCAAGGGTTTGTCAGTCCCTTTGTCCTTACGGGCTATTCATGCCCGTGCCACCTCTTGAGTGGCTTAATCTTTATCAATCAGTCGCCTTGTTTCAAGGTGCTTGGTATATTCTCCTGTCTTGGGCTCCTCTTAGTCCTCTTGGTGGTCTTTGTACTCACCTAGTTGTGTTTGCGGGGGTTGAGCTCTGGCTCTTTGGTCCCGCCTCTCAACCATCAATCAACAGGTGTACAGGTTCCTGAGCCTATTGGGCTCTATCATATCTACACTTGAAACTGTGTATGGAGTCTGTGTGTGTGTGTGTGTGTGTGTGTGTGTGTGTGTGTGTGTGTGTGTGTGTGTGTGTGTGTGTGTGTGTGTGTGTGTGAGGCGGCCCCTGTAGGCAGGCTTGAGGGAAACAGGGCAATGTTCTGACAGCTGTAGTAGTGATTGCTTCTACCAGGCTCTGTTGAGGCGGAGATCATGGCAGTATTGTCTTTGCCAGCCGGTGTAAGATGGAACAGGAGGGGGCGTATTCCTTTTCTTTTATCCAACCCCCATTTCTTCCCCCTCTCCCACCTCTCATACGATTCAACAACTCTCCCTTCCCTTTTTCCCTCCCATCTACCCCCTGTCCCTCCCTCTCTTTCCCATCAGGTCATTTCCTACATACCACACAAGCATTACCCTAATTATAAACAGGAGGAAAGTGAGTTATCTCACCCTTGAGGTTATCTTGAGGTTATCTTGAGATGATTTCGGGGCTTTAGTGTCCCCGCGGCCCGGTCCTCGACCAGGCTTCCACCCCCAGGAAGCAGCCCGTGACAGCTGACTAACACCTCAGGTACCTATTTACTGCTAGGTAACAGGGGCATTCAGGGTGAAAGACACTTTGCCCATTTGTTTCTGCCTCGTGCGGGAATCGAACCCGCGCCACAGAATTACGAGTCCTGCGCGCTATCCACCAGGCTACCAGGCCCCTGGTGATAAATAGCTGATAATTGCTCCATGACGCGACCAAAATATTTACATTACAACGGCTGTTATGCAAGAGAATAACAAATAAATATATCATCCAGTCAGCCACTGACAATCAAAGAAGAGGGTGAGAGAGGGGAGTAGGAAGAGGGAGATAACATGGCGGAAAAGGGGAAATGGAATTATCTGTGTCGCTTACCGACTGGTTGCCGAGGTTCCTGATCCTACAAGGCAGGAACGCCTGCGTCCCTAGCTGCGCAGATACGTTTGTAGCCGCTGACGGATCGAAGTACGGCGGGGGTGGCGCTGTCGAAGGAATAGTCCGCTCGATTCTGATTGGCGCTGGCGGCGGCCGCAGAGAAGATGGAGAGGAATAAGACGAGGAAGAGTAGAATGAGAAGAAGGAAGAGGATGAGAAAGATGGAGATATCGAGGAAGGAGAAGGAAGGAAAACTGATGGAGGAGCAGGGGATGTACTCCTTATGGCGGAGAAGTAGAGGCGTTGGCGGAAGTGTCCTGTAGGTATGGCGTCTTGGGTAGGCTCCTTCGCTGCTGCAGTGGTGGTCGGGGCCGAGCCTGTGGATCACAAGCACACTAGGTCAGCTAATACAGTGTCAGTATGTTGTTATTGTGGTAGTGAGTAATGCTAGACTGTAATGGTGACTGCTTGGGCAGGTGATGGTGTGTGTGTGTGTGTGTGTGTGTGTGTGTGTGTGTGTGTGTGTGCAGAATCGAGCTATTAGATCTTGGACTCCGCCTAACTAATCATCTGTTTTTCCTCTATTGTATCTACTACATTTATTTCTCTCTAACACACACACACACACACAATCGTAGGCTCAGGAATCTGTACACCAGTTGATTGACAGTTGAGAGGCGGGACCAAAGAGCCAGAGCTCAACCCCCGCAAACACAACTAGGTGAGTAAACTCACTCACTCACTACCTTTCCGTACAGAAAACAAATGCTTACCACAATAGCCTGGAACCCTGTTAGTTGACCCCTTAATATGTACCTTTCTCTGAGATGCAAAAATGTTCACTCAATCAATCAGCCTTTGACTGAAGAACAGGTCTATGAACTGTGTGAATTTTAAGGTTTCTAGTTACATAAAAAACAATGGAAAAAGAAACCCAGAACTTGATTTTGGTTTGAAGACCGGGCCGCGGGGACGCTAAGCCCCGAAATCATCTCAAGATAACCTCAAGATAACCTGCCCAAGTCCTACCTTGAGGTGCTTCCGGGGCTTAGTGTCCCCGCGGCCCGGTCGTCGACCAGGCCTCCTGGTTGCTGGACTGATCAACCAGGCTGTTAGACGCGGCTGCTCGCAGTTCTTTATCAAGTAAGATTATAGTGAGTTGTTCCATTTCCTGGAAACGTTACTACTCATTAGAGAGCAGTAAGATGTAGAAATATTTCCAGGAATCAAATGTCTATTTTGAAATATTTTAAATTTACAACGTGGTACTAATTTGGGACACTTGCAATTCAGTACTAATTCCCGATTTCCCGGCTGGGACTCGAATGTCAGGATTGTTTTTCGTGTTTAGAAACCTGTGAAATACAATTATGTTCTCTAGTGACAGCCGTCCCCAGGCGAGGCTCGTTAAAGCAGCGGCCGTCCCCAGAAATGCATTCATAAATTTTAAGTGTAATAAAAAGTTTTTCTCGTATATTTATTCCATAATAAAATTCAATGTATAGTTATGTTAGGTTCTGTTGGCGATTGTGTGTGTAGTTTATGGGTGAAACATTTACATCCTTAAGGTTCGAGAAGAGGTAGTCAGCAAGAGGCTGCTAACCCGCTACACACCGAAACTACGACGTTGGTACAACGTTCGAACAAGTTTTAACACCTCCTAACCAGTTATAACAACCAATATAGCCAGTTGTAACAACGTTCTAATACGTCATAAACACGTTAAGTCAAGATGTAACAACTTTATTACAAGTTGTAACAAGCGGAAAATAGAGAATACATATGGTACTTGTTCAGAATCGAATCCAATGACCCATTACATAATATTATAGTCGTATAATATTTACAGATAAAAAATATTTTAATTTGCCATATTGGACAAGTTTAATTACTGTATTTGTTTTGGTGATGAGTAATTATGAGTTTTTCATCTATAAACAGGGGATTAGGTGGCTGGATTAATGAGCATTTAGCCTTTGTTGATGAGGATGTTTTAAGACTTAGTGCTTCAGTTTGTGCAAGTGTGAAATGTGAGAAATTGAATGACTGAGCCGTGAGAAATAATTTGTTTATGCTAGTGCTAGAAGTATGGTGATGTTCATAACAAAACTTTGAAACATTTCAAAAGCCTTCTGCTGTTCAGGGTTTAGTAACCCATTTCACTATGGGTGAAAAGGGTTTTATGTCCCATACACCCCCCCCCTTCTTTATTTAGACAGGTGGGTACAGGAGCAGACGACTGCTGACTCCTGTTAGCTGGCTGAGAGCTTTCCCTTCCCATAGCTCATGGTAAGCCTTACCCTACTAGTTTTACACACAGGTGGGTACAGGAGCAGACGACTGCTGACTCCTGTTAGCTGGCTGAGAGCTTTCCCTTCCCATAGCTCATGGTAAGTAAGCCTTACCCTACTAGTTTTACACTCCTGTTTGGTGGGTACAGGAGCAGACGACAGACGACTGCTGACTCCTGTTAGCTGGCTGAGAGCTTTCCCTTCCCATAGCTCATGGTAAGCCTTACCCTACTAGTTTTACATTGGTGGGTACAGGAGCAGACGACGAATTTGACCGTTTAGGTATTCAATTACGTCGATATTTAACCGTAGCGCATACGAGCGAAAAGCTTACGGGCTATTCATGCCCGTGCCACCTCTTGGGTGGCTTAATCTTTATCAATCAATCTAGCGAAAAGCGACATAATTTGCAAGGGGAAGGCTGCACTACATGTAGTACATATAATGCAACATATATATGTATTATGAAGACTACGTATAGTACATATGATCCACGGAACACGGTGCAATATGCATGATCTGTGGCTTAGAATAACCTTGTAATTAAGTTTGTCGCAGAAAAAAATAGCAAAAAAATAAAATAACAAAACCCCCAAATTCTGATGTTAATAATTCTCAGTCGAATAAACTCTTGTCATTAATGAATTCTTACAAGCAATAACTTGACTGGAAAC